CACACACACACACACACACACACACACACACACACATACATACACACACACACACACACACACATATATATATATATATATCATAGACTTGGTAGTAAATTATAGACTTGCTAGTCATGTCAAGAACACTCGAAACAACGTCCATGCAAAAGGACATAAACAAAAATTGGTCCAGAATACCGAGAGCATGGATCCAAACTCATGCCAAGCGAACTCCAAAACAATGATCCTAAACCCTAAATTCTAAACCCTATTCCCATAAGGGCGAACACTCGTAAACTTACCTAAACCGTATGGTAACGGGCACAACACAGAGTAACAGCTGGAGATTAAACACGCACAGGAACAGCACCCTGAACTGCTCGAAGATCTCCAGAAAGAAGTACCAGTACAGCCCTATGTTGGGTGTCAGGTCCGCTGCAGTCATTCTGTTGGTGTGGATCCAAAAGGTATATATGTTGAGACTGTTTGACCCATTCGGGTATCCAAGAACCCTACCAGGAATGAGAAATAGAACCAGTATTGCCCTGTAATCGGCTTTGTATGAATGCCGGTGTGTACCAGCGGCAACACACCTTTTCCATTTGCTAAGGGAACTACTACTAATGATTCGGATAAGTGTCTGTTACGGTGCAGTACCTTGCTTGCAGCAGACTCTCGTCCCTCTCTCATACATCAACATAACCAACGTACCGAAACCCGTACAGACAGCCCTGAGAGGCGTGCTAGAAACACCACAACGCACATGCACCATTGTAGTGTATAAGTATATACAGGCCGTACTCATACTCATGCCCAACACCATGAACACACGTCGAGTATTGCAGCCTGTGCAGAAAAGATACTCTTGCAATGCTCGCTCAGAGCAAGTAATCATTGACATATGCATATCTGTGTGATGGGTACACTCAGACACCATAAGTATAATTAACGTGTTGCACTCCCTACTATATATATATATATATATATATTGCTTATATAGTATATCAAACATCAAGTGAAGTAGATACTGGTTCGCTCGAAGTCCCAAGCGTGGCTCAGAAGTGATGGCATGTTAGAAGCGCAAATATTCAACACACGTAAACCACTACGGGGACGACAGCTGCTTCGCACTGGTAGTGTATGCAACGTACTGTACTGTGTACATATGTTTCTGTAGTGCTCATTAAACAAACGGTAACTCACGTGAAGTAGAAGCTGGCAGGGACGAAGTCCCAGGATTGGCTCAGAAGCGATGAGATGTATAGGAGCGCGAACAGCCAACACGCGTACAAGACAACGGGGACTACGGCCGGTTGCCTCTGACGCCCACCCCCCTGCGGAATGCAGATGTGAGAGAAGGAACTACATGAGCGTCCTACTTGTACGAATCTTTATAGACGTTTATAGAAATGATTATACTAGTATAAGAAATCCACCCGACTGCAGGATATGTATTTGAGAGACGGAACTACATGAGCGTCCCATTTGTACGAATCATTATATACGTTTAGAAAGACGTTTAGAGAAATGATTACAATATTATTATGAGAAATAAATGGGCCACAGAAGAGACACCTCCATGTGGCACCTGACAACTACTCGAGAACGTATATCCACAGTATACTACCAGCCATGCGTAGACATATACATATACATAACGCAAATACGCAAATTCCAGAACACTAATTACCCAGTACGCGCCTAGCAGGATACCACTATGTACCAGATGCATACACACACCTATGCTATATGTACCGGTGTGTAGTTGTTCAAATTGCATAGTCCAAAGAACATGATTCTGTTCAAACATAGCAATAATAATCTGTACAATCGGTTGGCACATATATAAATACGCATACATCTCGAGGTGCACGAAATGAAATAACAGCTGCGAATAAGGTCAAGGGGAATTCCAACACACGAAAAGTGGTACGGACCTCAACATGCGCATATTACAACAACGAATATCAGCAAGTGTTGCCATGACAACGTTGAGCGGATAACTCTATATGCCAAAAGAAAACAAAAAAGACACATTCATTGCGGCACACAGACGTGCGGACGATCAGGCATCACCACAGTCCCAGTAGTGCGCATCGAAAACGCACATCAGATTGGCTAGTACCCATACGCTGGGGAGAATATGTACACACACACACACACACACACACACACACACACACATATATATATATATATACACAATACACAATACACACACACACACACACACACACACACACACACACACACATATATATATATACCTCTCAGGCACAGAATACGCTGTGTGTTCTCGTGCACTGTAACATACCAGTTTGCTTGACTGTTCGGAGATGAGAATCAGCGTGATGGCTGGCAGCAACACAATCGAATAGTGAGACACACATGTGGCCAGGGCCAAAATCAGCGTACTCAGGTTGTAGGAAGCTGAGAGGGAGGAGGCGGTTACGACGTAAGATATATATATATTTATATATATAGAGATGTACGTAATATACGAGTATTTATGCGTGTGACAGATGAATATATAGCATGTCATGAGATACAGGTTCAAGCATAAGACAAACTGTATGTGGAATTATATATTATTTTCTCGCAATAAAAGTGGCCTCTCAGTGTGGCAGTAGACCAATGTTTTGGAGTTTCATACTATATGTGTATGTAAGTATATGACTCGTCGCTTTATGATGTCCGAGAGCAATGGGAGAGTGCTGCCGCCCCGTTGGTAGGTATGTTCGTGGACATCCACACCTACACAAATAATTCTACGAGGCCAATTATATTGAGAATAATATGGATACTTTCACATACAGTTGTTATCAGAGTCTACCTCCCACCCCCACTTACCTCTAAGCGCAAAGGCAAAGCTAGCCAGTACAGCCAGGTAGAGGACTGGTGCACTCGAGAGCGATACGCAGGTCAAAACCGTATACGGACTCAACAGATACAACACGGCCACCAACGTCGGCAGATGGGCACTATACGAGTCCACTGATTTTATCACCGGTGGGGCTTTCCTATTAGCGTCATCATCCTGAACAGCGAATGGGACACAGGTGGATATGTGAATATATAGGCGAGTGTGGTCTAAGCTGATATATATATATATATATATATATCGATGTTAATATATATACATACCTACATACAAACATACATATATACATACATACATACATACATATATATATATACATACACACACACACACATACACACACACACACACACACACACACACACACACACACACACACACACA